CTGGAAGCCCAGCCCAGGAAATTCTTCCGGGCAGCCTCTCAAGCCCCTCTTTGTGCGCTTGGGATTTTTAACATTCCCGGCGGCTGCGGACGGGGTGCCCGGTGCCGGACGGGGTGCCCGGTTCCAGATGGGCCACCCAGCTCTCCCGAGCTCTGGCGGGATGGGATGGGATGGGACGGGATGGGATCCGCTGTGGATTTAGAGGATGCGGCTGCCCATTCCCACCCACCCCGGCTGTGCAGCTCGCTGGGGTGCCATGGGGACCCTGTGCCACGCTCAGGGGACCCTCAGAGTGCATTTCCCGTGCGATGGGGGGATGGGGGTGCTGAGCAGCACCWCCCGTCCCTCGCTGCCACATCCTCCCCTCCAAACCCTCCAAGCCCTGCCAGGCCACAGCGCTGGCCTCGCTGCCAAGGCGTCACCGCTTCCCTGCCCCGCTCCGGCTCCTGGGAACGACCTTGGCTGTCTCAGCTGCAGMGCGGCTGCCGGGGACCCCCTGGCTCCGGGGGAGGAAGGCGCCAGCCTTGGGGCACAGGAGGAAGCGGCGGCGGCGCTGAAACCCTGAGAGGACCCGGGAACCCTCCCCGGAAGGAAAGCGCTGCCGGCACCTCAGGGTGCTCTGGGGACAGGGAGGCCCTCGCTGGGTGAGGAGGAGGAGGAGAAGGGAGGGTCCCTCTGCCTCGTGCCCTGGGTGCCCGGGCTCGCTGACCCCTCACTCCYGCCCACCCAGAGCCGCCGCTGCCATGCCGGTGACRRTGACRGTGACACTGCCCGGCCCGGCCCCGTGGGGCTTCCGCATCTCCGGGGGTAGAGATTTCAGGAAGCCCATCACCGTCTCCAAGGTAGGAACCCCCCAGGTGCCCCTCCCCGGGCTCGGGGAAGGCCGCCGGGGCTCCGGGCGGGCCGGGCTGCTCCGGGGAGCCGATCCTGTTTGCTGTCCTTGAGGGATGCAGCTCCGTGGGAACGGCCCAGGGCGGGCGGCGGCGGCAGCGGGGGCTCCCCCGGGCCCCGGGCTGGGCAGGGCTGTGCCAAATTCCCGGGTGGTGCTCCCCAGGCCGTGGTGCGCTCCTGGCAGAGGGTCTGTGCTGTTCTGTCAGGGACCTGGGGGTTCTGGCGGGTGGGAGCATCCCAACAGAGCGGGATTGGGAGATTGAGGGATTAAACCCTGCCCGGGGGTCACTTGGTCCCTGTCCCCTTTCTCCGTGGAGGTGACGGAGCACGGGAAGGCGGCTGCGGGMGGCCTCCGGCCGGGGGATGTCATTGTCACCATCAACGGCGACCCCGCGGCCGAGATGCTCAACGCGGAGGCGCAGAACAAGATCAAGCAGAGCCCCGGGCAGCTCCGGCTGCAGGTGGAGAGGTGGGTGCAAGGGGCAGCCCCCGGACGGGGCTCTCAGAGTTGTCCCCACGCGGATTGGGGACACCTTGTGGCACTCGTTCCCCTCCCCGGTGAGCGCTGGGGCGGTGCCACCCCCGCGGGAGGCGGTCCCCGCTCTCTAATTAAGCAGTGGGGTGTTAATGAGGCCGGGCAGCCGTTACCTGGCCGAGCTGGTGCCACCTGGGGACACAGGGCAATGGTGACACCGTGCCCCGCTCCYGGGCACATCCCAGAGCTCGCTGCTGTCCCTCGGCCCCAGGTGCCCGATGCCACCTCCCAGCCACACCAACGGGGACACCTCACCGGACAGGTTGGCCACGCGCTTCCAGGTGAGTCCCCGGGGCACCCCGACCCCTCCTCAGGGCTGGTGGCAGCTGCTGGTGTCACCCTCCCCTCCCCAGGACACGCTGAGGATGCAGAACGGGAGCCAGGCTGCCCTGAGAACCCCCGAGCCCAGCACGGCACCCCTCGCCCACCCACCTGGCAGTGCCAGGTAAGGCTGCACCCGGCTGCGGGTGGGGCTGGGGGGTGGGCAGGGGGCGGGGGAGGGACAGGGACCCCCGTGATGTCTCCGCTCTGTCCCCAGCTCACAGCTCCTGGAGCAGGAGTTCACCTGTGCCGGGCTCCACCAGGTGAGTGAGGGGCTGGGGGGCTGCAGCGGGGGCACCAAAACCTTGAGAACCCCCAAAACATTCCCCTTTGAACTCCAAAATCATCCCCCTTTGAACCCTAAAACCATTCCCCTTTGAACCCCAAAATCATCCCACTTTGAACCCCTAAACCATCCCCCTTTTAACCCTAAATCATCCCCATTGTAGGGCCCCAACCACCCCTCTTTGAACCCCCAAATCATCCCACTTTGAACCTCCAAATCGTCCCCCTCTGAGCCCCAAGATCATCCCCCTTTAAATCTCAAAACCATCCCACTTCAAACCCCAAAATCATCCCTCTTTGAACCCTAAAATCATCCCCATTTTAGGACCCAAACAAGCCCTCTTTGAACCCCAAAATCAC